CCCATCTCGCTGCATTCTTTGGGGACGTGCGTCAGGGCTGCCCGGGCACACGGCAGAAGGGACGAGCTGACACAGGTTCGGTCCCATCTCCCCTGCACTGCTCCTGTCCAGAATATCTCCATTCTCTCAGGCTCCTGTCTCCAGACCAAATCCCAGGCCTGTTTTCATGGGAGCCCCACAGAGCATCCCTCTAGGCGGGCCACCCACAACCCACCCCATGGAAGGGGCTTCTCCTCTGGGTCTGGCCTCGGGTTAGTTTTTTGTTTTTTGTTTTTTAATTATTTTTAGCTACTTCATTAAGTATTTTCCAATTACATGTGAAAATTTTTTGACATTTTTTAAAAAATTCTCTTCTTCCTGCCCCTCCCCCACCCTTTGAGAAGGGAAGCAATATGATATCAGTTTTACATGGGAAGTCATGCCAAATATATTTCCATATTAGCCATGTTGCAAAAGAAAACACACACACAAAAAGAAAAATAAAGAAAGTGAAAAAAGTATGCTTCATATCTGTACTCAGAATTCATCAGTTCTTTCTCTGGAGACCGACAGCATTTTTTTAATTAATTTATTTTGATTTATCAACAATCACTTCTATAAGCTTTTGAGTTTTAAATTTTTCTGTCCCTCCCTCTGCGCCTTCCTCCCCAAGATGGCGTACAATGTGATATAAGCTCTACATAATACATTCGTATTAAACATATTTTCATATTAGTGATGTTGTAGGTAAGAATTAGAATAGGAGGAACCACCAGAAAGAGGAAAGAAAACAAAACAGAAGAAAAAAAATAGCAAATAGTATGCTTTGGTCTGCATTCAAACTCTATAGTTCTTTCTTTGGATGTGGATAGCATTTTCCGTCACGAGACCTTTGGAGATATCTTAGACCCTTGCATTGCTGAGAAGGGTTAAGTCTATCAGTATTAGTCATCACACAACATGGCAGTTACTGTATACGACGTTCTCCTGGTTCTGCTCACTTCACTCAGCATCAGACCATATAAGTCTTTCCAGATTTCTCTGAAGTCTTCTTGCTCATCATTTCTTATAGCACAATAGTATTCCATTACATTCACATACCACAACTTGTTCAGCCATTCCCCAATTGATGGGCATCCCCTCAATTTCCAATTCTTTGTCACCACAAAAAGAGCTACTAGGAATATTTTTGTACATGTGGGTCCTTTTCCCATTTTTATGATCCCTTTGGGCATAGTTCCAAATTGCTCTCCAAAATGATTGGATCAGTTCACAACTCCACCAGCAGTGCATTCGTGTCCCAATTTTTCCACATCCTCTCCAGATTTGTCATTTTCTTTTTCTGCTGTGCTCACCTAGTCTGATGGGTGTGCAGTGGCAGCTTAGAGTTATTTTAATTTGCATTTTTCTGATGACTAATTTTAGAGTATTTTTTCATGTCAGTATTGATAGCTTTCATTTCTTCTGAAAACTGCCTTTTATCACTTGGGGAATGGTTCATATTTTTATAAGTTTGGCTCAGTTCCCTACATATTTAAGAAACAAGGCCTTTATCAGAGAAAATTGCTGTAAACATAGTTTCCCGTTTTCCTCCTAACTTTGGTTGCATTGGTTTTATTACTTTTTAATTTCATGTAATCAGAATTATCCATTTTTCTTCTTGTGATCCTCTCTATCTCGTTAGGTCATAAACTCTTTCCTTATCTACAGATCCAACAGTTAATTTTTTCCATGCTTCCCTAATTTGCTTATGATGTCACCCTTTATGGCTAAATCAGGGGTGGGGAACCTGCAGCCTAGAGGCCACATCTGACCCTCTAGGTCCGCGTGTGTGGCCCTTTGACTGAATCCAAACTTCACAGAACAAATCTCCTTAAGAAAAAGATTTGTTCTGCCAAACTTGGACTCAAGTCAAAAGGCCACACCTGAGGAGCTGGCAGGTCACCTGTGGCCTCCAGGCCGCAGGTTCCCCACCTCTAAGTCATTTACCCATTTTGAGCTTATCTTGAAATGTGGTGTAAGATGTTGGTCTATGCCTAATTTCTTCCAAACTGCTTTCCAGTTTTCCCAGCAATTCTTGTCACGCGGTGAGTTCTTGCCCCCAAAGCTTGGATCTTTGGGTTTATCAAACACAAGGATTACTATGGTCATTTACATATGTAATCTATACTACTGGTCCACCATTCTATTTCTTAGCTAGTACAAGATTGTTTTCATGGTTATGGTTTTGTGATATAGATTGAAATCTGGAACTGCTAGGCCACCTTCCTTTGCATTTTTTAAGTTAATTCCCTTGATATTCTTGACCTTTCCTTCTTCCAGATGAATTTTGTTATCATCTTTCCTAGCTTTATAAAATAATTGTTTGGTAGTTTGATTGGTATGGCACTAAATAAGTAAATTAATTTAGGCAAAATTGTCGTTTTGATCATATTAACTCAGCCTTAGTATTTCTCTTGTTTTTCTTTTTTAACAATTAATTATTTTTAATTTTCAACAATCACTTCCATAAAATTTTGAGTTTTGAATTTTCTCCCCCTCCCTCTCCTCCCCCCTCCCCAAGGCGGCATGCAATCTGATATAGGCTATACGTTATTATTAAACATATATTAAACATATTTTCACATTAGTGGTGTTGTAAGAAAGAATTAGAACCAATAGGAGGAACCACAGGAAAGAGGACACCAAATAAAACAGAAGAAAAAAAATCAAATAGTCTGCTTCCACCTGCATTCAGACTCCATAGCTCTTTCTCTGGACGTGGGTAGCTTTTTCCATCGTGAGTCTCTTGGAGTTGTCTTAGATCCTTGCATTGCTGAGAAGAGCCACGTGTATCAAGGGAGTTAGTATTTCTCTAGTTGTTTAGACCTGTCTTTATTTGTGTGAAAAGTGTTTTGTGACTGTGATATCTCGGCAGATAGATTCCCCAGGATTCTATGTTGTCTGCAGTTATGATTTCTCTGTCTCTTCCTGACTTTTTTTCGGTAGTATTTAGAAATGGTAATAATTTGTGTGGGTTTATTTTATAGCATGAAACACTGCTAAAGTTGTTCATTTTTCCAACCACTTTTTTAGTTGATTCTCTGGGGTTCTCTCAGTACACCATCGCATCATCTGCAGAGAGGGATAGTTTGGGTTCCTCATTGCGGAGTGTAATTCCTTCTATTTCTTTTTCTTTTCTTACTGCTATAGCTAACATTTCTCACACAGTACCGAATAATAGTGGTGATAATGGGCCTCTTTGCTCACCCCTGATCTTACTGGGAAGGCTTCATTCTGGCTTGGTGTGCAGGCTCCCAATGTCCTTTGTGGTCCTCAGGCTTGGAAGTCTTGCCTTTCTGCAATGACCAGTCAAGGGCCCTTTTATAGAATTCCCTGATTGGGCAGCTAGGTGGTGCAGTAGATAGAGCTTGAGCCTTGGAGTCAGGAGGACCTGAGTTCAAATAGGGTCTCAGACACTTGAAACTTACTAGCTGTGTGACCCTGGGCAAGTCATTTAACCCTGTTTGCCTCACCCCCCCCCAAAACAAACAAATAAATAAATAAAGGATTCCCTGAGTCAGTTATTTTTCAAATCTTTTTTTTTTCTTGTAAATAACCAGCATTTATTATTACTTCTTCCCACATCCCCACCATGGAGGAGAAAAAAGAGAAAGAAAAATAAAAGCTTTGCAACAAATAAATATAGTGAAGTGAAACAAATTCCTGCCTTGGCCAGATCCAGAAGTATAGGTAGCCTTGTGAGTGCTGCGCATGTCCCCGAGGCAGGGGCTTCGTCTTCACTCCAAAAGCCGGCCAGTCACTGCATGATCCGAGTTCTTGAGCCTTCCCGAGCCATCTGCGGTCGCTACATAAACTGTCCTGGGCCCTCCGCTCTGCATGAGTTCCTACAAGGCCCTTTCTTTTTTTCTTTAATTAATCTATTTTGAGTTATCAGCAATCACTTCCATAAGCTTTTGAGTTTTAAATTTTTCTCCCCCTCCCTCCCCAAGATGGCGCACAGTCTGATAAGGCTCTACAATATGCATTCCTATTAAACATACTTTCACATTAGTGATGTTGTAAGGAAGAATTAGAACCAATAGGAGGAACCACCAGAAAGAGGAAACAAAACAAAACAGAAGAAAAAAAAAGAGCAAATAGTCTGCTTCGATCTGCATTCAGACTCCATAGTTCTTTCTTTGGATGTGGATGGCATTTTCCATCATGAGACTTTTGGAGATGTCTTAGATCCTACAAGGCCCTTAAGAATACAGGCCCATAGCATGCCATCACATACAAAGACCATTTCCACGGGGCCACCACAAGAGAGCTGCTGGAAATATTTTTGTACAGATGGGACCTTTTCCTCCACCTTGGACCTCTTGGGGGCACAGTTGGGTAGTTTTTAGAGTGCGGCTCCAAACCGCTATCCAGAGTGACCGACCCCCTCCCCAGGTGCATCAACAAGGCAGTGACGGGCTTGCTTTCCCACAGCCCCTCCAACATGGCGGCTATGCCGATCTAATGGCTGTGAAGCTGAGCCTCAGGGTTGCTTTCCTTTGCATTTCTCTATCAGTGACTTGGAGCATTTTTTCAGATGGCTTTAATTGTTTGGATTTCTTCTTTGAGAAGAGCCTGTTCATATCCTCTCGTTATTCAGTCATTTCAGCCATGTGTGACTCTCCGTGACCCCATTTGGGGTTTTCTTGGCAGAGATACTGGTGTGGTTTGACATTTCCTTCTCCAGCTCATTTTACAGATGAGAAACTGAAGCAAACAGGGCAAAGTGACTTGCCCAAGGTCACCCAGCTAGTAAGTGTCTGAGGCTGGATTTGAACTCAGGGAGATGAGTCTTCCTGACTCCAAGCGGCGCTCTGTGCACTATGGCGCCCCCGGCTGCCCCTGCATATCCTCTGACTGTTTATCATTTGGGGCACAGCTCTTCTTCTCTGTGATCTTTCTGTGGGGGTGGGGGTGGGGGTGGGGGCCAGCCCTGGTGTAAGCAGCCAGGTGTGAAGGGGGCTGCTCTTGTTTTCCAGCTCCTGAAAGCTTGATGCAAGCACTGGAAGACCTGGACTATCTGGCGGCCCTGGACAACGACGGGAACCTCTCTGAGTTCGGCATCATCATGTCGGAGTTTCCTCTGGATCCGAAGCTGTCAAAGGCCATCTTAGCAGCCTGTGAATTCGACTGCGTGGATGAAATGCTCACCATCGCCGCCATGGTAACAGGTACGGCTGCAGCGGCGCCCCAAAGGCAGAGTGTCACCAGGACACTTGGGCTTTCAAAAGTGCAGGTGCTGTAAAAACCACAAGGCCACTTCATGGAGTGGAGAAGAGGCAGATGCCCAGCCCGCTCTCACGTCCTGGCTTTGTGGCCTCGTCACAGGCCTCCCTGCTTCCCTGCTTAGGCCAGCCTTAGGAGCCTCAGGAAAGGGATGGTGGGCTTCCTCTTCAACCCGCTCATGCCTTCTGGCCCTCTCAGGAAAAAGTGAAGTGTGGCCCCAGGCTGACCTCTGCCCCGGCCCCTGCAGCTTTCCTCACCCTCAGGGTTTCATCCCTCCCCTTTCCTTACCACCTTAGCATCACTGGTCATCGTTAGGCCTGGTGGGCAGCCCCTTCCCTGCCCTGTGCTGTGACGCACAGTCAGGCAGCTCTGCAAGGCCGGGCACTGTGGTAGGCAGCGCAGAGTGGGGGCTTCCTCCAGCTGCCGTGGGGTGAATCCAGGGTGGTTGTGGCTGTAGTCGCGGGCAGCTGTGTCTGTCCCCTGAGGCCGCTGAGTCTCTTAAATTCTGTATTGGGCAGCTCCTGACTGCTTCCTGCCCTTGCCCCCCGGAGCGGAGGAGGCCTGGCAGCGGAGGATGAACCTCTCCCACCCAGAAGGTGACCACCTGACTCTCCTCAACGTGTACAAGGCCTACCAGGAAGCCAGCAAGAGTGAGTGCCAGGCGTCCAGTCAGTCGCTGGCAGGTTGTCATGGCCTTTTCCATTCAGCCGTCTGCTTTGTGCAGAGAACCGTGCCGGGTATGGAGGGCGACAGAACCCCCCCCACACACAAAGCTGATGATCTTCTATAGAGCCTGGCATACAGTAGGCACTTAATCAGTGCTTGCTGGATGGCGCTCTGGCCGTGGAGCTCCAGTCCTCCCGGTGGCAAGGAGGGGAGAACAGGAGGCTGGAGATGAGGTGCCACGTTCTGGGGTGCCATCAGAGGTAATGTAGAGTGGGGAGGGACGAAATTCTAAAGCGTTTTGAGGGCCAAGCTGAGGAGGGGACAGTGTGGGAAAAGCCTACCCCGAGGAGCAGAGAGGAGCCCTGTGCCCATCCCCACACTCGCCACTCACGCCCCTTGGCGTGGGTCGCCGAATCTTGGGGCCACCGCCACAAAGGGCTTCCTGGCTTAGCTGGGCCTTCACTGTTGGGCCCTGAGCCAAGAGCTGAGGACACCCAGGAAAAGCCGGGAGGTCCCCCGCCCCGCCCTGCTCATATACAGACAGAGCAGTGACAAGGACCGCTTCCAGTTACGCTCCCATTAGATTTTTACAGCTGCCTTGGGTGGGACAGGCTGTTAATATCCCCCTTTGACATTTGAGGAAGCCAAGGCAGACAGAGTTGTAGCACCTTGCCAGTCACCTAGCTAGTAAGTGTCTGAGGCTGGATTTGAACTCGGGTCCCCCTGACCACAGGCCCTGCACTCTCAGCCCTGCGACACCTCCTCACTGGAAGGGAACCCCAGAACAGAAGGCTGTAGCTGGCAGCTGGGGGCCTGGCTGGGAAAGTCTTCCTACGTTGCAGCCGAGTGTTGTAGGAAGTCCAGGGCTCTGAGAGACAGAAATGGGGAGGGAGGGCGGGCATTCCAGGCCTGGAGGACAGCCAGTGCCAAGGCACAGAGGTGGGAAGCTGCGCCGAGTGTGACAGTGCCCAGCAAGGGATGTGAAAGCCTTGGGAAAAAAAGCAGCATTATCTTTGTAAGGGAAGTCAGACAAGGTGGGGGTGTGGGGGTGGTTCTCAGGATGGGCAGGCTGGGGGTCATCTGAAGAGACTGGCACAGTCCCCTGGAGCAGGTCAGCCAACCTAGAGACCACATAAGTAAGAGTCAGGAGGGGTTGAGCTCAGGGGAGGCCAGGCTGGACAGCGGCCAGGGAGGGAGGGATGGACGGCAGGAAAGGACTTGTGCATTGGGCACTTAGCTCCACTCAGGACAAAATAAAGGGGAGCAGCGAGGGCTGGGGGGTGAAGGCCCTCAAGGGCAGTGCAGGGGCCCCACTTCTGGGCATCCCCCTTGAGGAGGGGGACGGCTGAACCAGGGCAGCTGCTCCCTGGGATGCATCGTCATTTTTGACAAAGTAACTGGGTCAGGGGGAGGTGACAGCTCCAGCTCCCCCACGGGTTAATGTAACATTTGACCAAGGCCCACGGCTCTGGCCGTGGCACCCACCCCCCTAAGCTCCTATGGCTCCCTCTCACTCCAGGCTCACACACACGATCATCCATTCAGCCTCCAAAGCCCTTCACAGCTCTCCTTTCCCCTGTCCACATTCTGGGATCCTGCTTCTGTTGCTGGTGTTTAGTCGTTTTTCAGTTTTGTCCGACTCTGTGACCCCACTTGGGGTTTTCCTGGCAAAGACACTGGAGTGGTTTGTCATTTCCTTCTCCAGCTCATTTTACATATGAGGAAACTGAGGCAAACAGGGTGAAGTGACATGCCCAGGGTCACCCAGCTAAGAAGTGTCTGAAATCTAGATTTGAACTCAGGAAGATGAGTTCTCCTGCCTCTAGGCACCCCCTGGCTGCCCCAGCTACCCTAGGACCCTCCATCCCCCACTTCATGCAGAAGGCTTGTCCTCACCCCCTAGCTATTCCTCTCCCTCTTTTTCAGGTTACCTTTCATGTCCATCTGGCAGTGATCCCTGGGAGGGTGGGGCCTGTAAGCTAGTCTTTGAATTCCCAGGCTCCTGGGAGCGGGGAAAGGCCAGCCTTAGGAAGAGAGACGAAAGCTCGCATCTCTCGTGTGTGTGTGTGTGTATACACGTACGTACTACTGTATGTGGTAAACGTGTATGGTAGAAACTGTAAAAAGGATGAGATAGATTAAATATTTTTGAAATACTTTTATTAAGAGCAACATGACAAAATGCTTCATTATTTTTAAAAAATTGCTGTGTATTTCCTGGACAGGGCAGACCTATAAATAATAATGGTTAGTAATTATTCAGTGACTTTGAACAGTGTATCTAGACAAATAGGTCAGTTTCCATACTGAACACTCCCACCCAAAAATAAAGAGGGAGGTGGTTCTGGCCTCTTGGGGGACTTTAGGAGAGGCTGGAGGGAAGATTGTCAGTGGCCCCCATGGGGAATGGGGAGGCCTTCAGGAGGGGCATGGGTGGGCAATAACGGAACCCCCTCTGAGCCCTGCCCAAAGACGCACTGCTTGGTGGAGGGACGTACGGCCAGTTTCAGACCAAGAGATCCCACACCCTGCCAGGGGTCCTAGCGCACACCATACTTTGAAGCTAAGTCCTATCAAATGGGCTCAAAGACCCTCTTTAACTGAATCAGAGGATTTCTATATACCAATGGATTTCTAGCTGGACTCTCCCTGGCAGTGACCTGCCACTCAAGAGCATCTGTGAGGGTGAGCCAGAGTTAGGAACTGACCTGGAAGGGAAGGGAAGGGGATCCAGGGTGGGTGAAGGCCCCCCGTAGGACTGAGTCTCAGGGACCAAGCTTTCAGGAAAGCCAAGCAAAGCAGTCTGGAGAAGTGATGATTAGAAAGCACACAAGCCGTGCACAGGTACACATGCGCACCACACACACACACACACACACACACACACACACACACACACACACACCCCACAACACACCCCACACACACCCCCCAGGCTCCCTACAAGCCCCTAACCAACCAGGCTCGCAGTGACACACACACTATTTCAGCAGGAGAAGACTACATTTCAGTGTGAAACCTAGGAGGAGAGAGAGGGGAAAAATCCCCCAAGAGCTCGGCCTTCCTTCTTATTCTGAGAACTTCAGCAGAGTTGCTGGATCTCTACATAGATCAGCAGTTAGGTCACTTAGACAGAATACTTAGGTGTTCTAGGTATTTGGGAATGTTAGAGTCCTGCCATACCTGAGGGCCTCGTTCCCTACAAACAGGTCCCCATTTTTTCCCCAGGGTAATGTGAACAGATCTCCGCCCCTCTCAGGAAGGTGCCAAGAGTCTTCACTTCTCCAGGATCTGTCCACGTCCTATAGAAGGACCGCACACGGCCCCGGACCTTGCTCCTCCTGGCCTCAGTCACTTGAAATCTTTTCTCAATGGCCTCTTGTCCCTTTTCCCCTCAGACTGTGTGGAGAAATGGTGTACCGATCACTTCCTCAGCTCCTCAGCACTCCAGACGGCGGACAGCATCAGAGATGAGCTTTTGGACATTGTCAGGCGGATTGAGCTCCCCTACACAGAACCGGCTTTTGGCTCAAAGGAAAACATCCTGAACATAAAGAAAGCTCTCATAGCTGGTTACTTTATGCAAGTAAGAACCCACAACAGGCTTCATTTTAGTGGCGCTGACATCAAAGAGAAAATAAGCCATTTGTAAAGATTCCTGTCAGGTCCCAGGGCTGCACCAATTCTACCAGTGGTCTGAAGGGAAGGAAGAGTATCATTCTATCAACAAATAGGCGCATGTCCTTATTTCTACAAACTTTTTAAAAATGGGACTTATTCAGATAGTGCTCCCCAGTCAGTCCCTGAGCTGGGATACATCAGCTAAGACAGAAAAGGTCCCTTGAGGGGAACTGCCAGCCAGCCCCGAAAGGGGCAGCCCCTCTGTGACAGACTCCGCCGTCCCCCCTGGGGGCTCCGGGGACCTGCAAGCCTTCCTGGCTCAGGGCCGGCACTCTGTCCAGTGCATCCTCTAGCTGCCTGGTAAGCAGAGGAGTAATATTGCCAGAGCTGTGCTTGAGGATTCTCAGGTAGAAGGCAGTGGAGGCAAGGAGATGAATTAGAGGGGAGGCGATGATGGCCTGAACTCGTGTGAGGAGACACACACAAGAGACTGGAGGCAGAAAGACAGGCCCAGGCAAATGGATGGGCAGGGGGAGTGAGGGAGAGCAACTCGAGTCTCGAGCCTGTGAAGATGGATGGTGGGTCCATAAAATGGGGAGGGAGCAGGGTGGAGAAGGAATGAGTTCTGTTTTGGACGTGTCAAATCTGAGACATCCACAAGAGTTGGTGGCGTGGGTAGGAAGGTTCATCAGGGCTGTCCTGAGCTTGAGGACTGAAGCTCGTTTTTCCTGCTGCCATTCGTTATCTCATGATGCTGGGGGTGGGGTCTGTAAAATGGGAATCCTGGATGGAGTGCTTTGGAAATGTATAAAAGTTAATTCTGCGTGTGGAGGAATATGATTCTATGATGTACTCTGCCCCCCCCACACCCCCTTAGATCGCTCGTGATGTGGATGGATCGGGGAACTACCTGATGTTAACCCACAAGCAGGTGGCTCAGCTGCACCCCCTTTCATGCTACTACGACATGAAGAAGATACCAGAGTGGGTGGTCTTCCATACGTTCAGCATATCTGAGAACAATTACATCCAAATCATCTCTGAAATCTCCCCGGAGCTGTAAGTGGGGGCTGGGGGAGGGGTCCCCTCACAATCCCATGCTCATTCCGGGGCCTCCTCGGAGCAGAAGGTGGGTCACAGGAGCATATCCTGCCGAAGGGCCCTGTCTCTCTGCTCCAGGGTCGTGAACCCCATCCCCTAAGGGGATGCTAACTATCAGCCAGCCTCCGGTTTCTACTTAAGAACTGTTGTGACAGGCGCTGCTGAGGTTGGATAGGAATGACCACGTACCTTTAACCAGTTAGAAAGGGAAAGAAAGCTGGTGGAAGGCCTTAGAAACCTAGCTCTCCTTCTAATCTCAAGTGGAAGTAAGCTGGCTGAAATGTAGATGCTAACGTTTATTTTTAAAGTCTTTGCTAGAATTTTCTCCTGGAAAATTCCCTGACAGCCAATCAATTATTAATGTGATGCTTTATTAATAATTAATGTAATGTTCAGGATAAAAGCTTATTTTGAACATTTTTGTTCAAAAATAGTCAACTGTAACAACAAAATGCACAAGCAATCTATGAAAATAGAAACATTTTATTGAACATGGCTCCCCCTGCAGGACCTTGGACGTTTCCATGTTGCAACTGCTATATGAAATGACTATTTTTCAAGGTTATCCCCCAAATAGTTTCTGAATTAAGTTACTATCTTGCTAAAGCTGAGCTTCTTTACCTGGGTCTATAAACATGATTTCTTTAAAAAAAAAAATTTTTTTTTTGATAAAAACTTGAGTATCATTGGTTTCTTTTGTAACCGTATATATTTTAATTTATGCATTTTAAAACCTTCCAAGAAGAGTGCCTTAAAAGGTTAAGAACCTCCTCCCACAACCAGACAGCAATAAGGGTCCCTGATGCGGCAGCTTTTAGACACTGCACTGTCATCAGCCACGCCACTGGCTGTTCCCTAAGAAACCTGCAAAGATAAACCGAGGGCGTCTCTTCTCACGGCACATCTACCAGAAATCCTCCAATTTATCCCTGCCAAAGGCCCATTAAGGAAAGGCCTCGTCCTGGTCTTTCCCAGGATGCTCATGAAGGAGCACGCCCATTTCCCCTCAAAGCCTGCTTGAGGCACCTGAGGCCCACCCACTGCTAAGCAGGCAATTGGGCCCAAAAATTGGTCCAGGAATTCTGACTCCAGACCTGTTACACAGAGCTCCGTGGAGGTTTGGTATTTATCACTTACAAAGGATCTCAGAGTTTGAATAAATGATCGGAGCTTCAACTTTCCTTGAAATAACTGCATTTTGTTCTCTGCTCCAACAGATTCATGCAGTTGGCCCCACCGTATTACTTCAGCAATCTGCCTCCTAGTGAAAGTAAGGATATTCTGCAGCAAGTAATCAATCACTTATCACCCATGTCGACAATGAAAAAGGAACAGAAGACAAGCAAAGATAAACTATGTGAAGAGTGCCCTGAAGCTTCTGCTGAAGCAAGATGCGTTATTCAGTGACTTCCAACCTTAATTCTACTCAGTACACACTGAAACGCTATGTGCAATAAACAGCCCAAAGTTAATCATTGTAATGGTTTGTCAACGTGAAAGATGTACAGAGATCGAACAGGAGGCAAGACAAATTGCCCAGCCAAGAAAATTTTGTACAAATAAACATTCTGTACATCATTAAAGCAACCATAATAAACAGTTGCTGCTCAGTTTTTAAAATTCCTAACCCATGTGTTCAGTTTTCTTTTGAAGTAATGAGCTTTTAATGAATGATTCACAAGTCCAAGATACATTTGACCAAAATGAAAAAATCAAAAAACGTATTAAGGCCACGGTGACTGAACCATCCGTTATATATGGCATTACACACACCAGGAGTTGTTTCGAAACCACTACATCTCCAATGAGTTTATCAGAAAGCGTTGTACAAACAAGCCACTCACTGTCTACAGAAAGCAGGTTAGATGGATAGGTACTCCTTCAGCGTCTCCATGACCGCACTCATCTTGCTCGCTGGAATGACCATCACCGTCCGCAGGGGCTTCATGGGCAAGTCATCGAAAGACCACCTGCCTCCCAAAGCCAGGTCACTCTCCTCTTGCACTGAGTAGCTGAATTTGAGAAGCGCTTGCTAAAGTGAAAGAAAGGAACTCAAATTAACACCGACTCCTCCACAGCCAAGAAGGCCTGGGGCCTAGCTTGCAGTGCCCAGGATTCTAAAGGAACCGCAAGCTGCCGACAGAGCCTCATAACGCTCCCACACTGGAGAGACCCAGGAAGGGCCGAGCCGTGTCACCACTCCCCCCCCTACTTAATAGTATTTTATTTTTTCTAGTTACATGTAAAGACAGTTCACAACATTCCCTCTGTAAGATTCTGAGTTCCAAAATTTTTTTTCCTCCCTCTCCGAGACAGCACGTAATCTGATACAGGCCATCATAGTAAACATATCTCCACTTTAGTCATGTTGTAAAAGAATCAGAACAGAAGGGGGAAAACCATGAGAAAGAAAAAAACAGGGAGAGAAAATAGCACGCTTCAATCTGCATTCAGACTCCGCAGTTCTTTCTCTGCATTTTCTATCACGATTCTTTTGAAGTTGTCTTAGGTCACGATGACACTACTTTTTAAATGACCTCATTTCAAACGCAATCTCCTCGGACTCTCGAGCAGTGAGGTTTATTAACAAGACCCAGACTTGGCACCCGGGCTCTGAACTACTGAGTCCTGGCTCTGCTCTAAGCCTTGAGAAGGTCACTGAACCTCACCCTCAGTTTTCCAAACTTGTGAAATGGGTCTAAAAATAGCCCCTAGCCCACAGGATTGTTGTGAGAATCATGAGATCATGTTACTTTTCAACTTACAAATCCTAGCGATTATTACACATTATTTATAATATGTTATTATAACATTACCTCTCTAAAAGTGATAGCAGGTGAGACCCCATTAGAGCCTAACAGTATAGGGAACAAGAGACTTAGAAGATTCAGGAAGACCTTGGTTCAAATTCTGCTCTGAGATATGCCATCTCCAACCCCAAGAAAATCATTTATCCAGGGGCAGCTAGGTGGCACAGTGGATAGAGCACCAGCCCTGGAGTCAGGAGGACCCGAGTTCAAATCTGGCCTCAGACACTTACTAACTGCGTGACCCTGGGCAAGTCACTTATATCCTCTCTCTGTCTCAGTTTCCTCATCTGTAACACGAGGGCATTGGCCTGGAAGGTCTCTTTAAATCTCTTCCAGCTCATTATTTGTGGGCATATTAGCCTCTTGAAATATCTTTACTCAACAGGAAAGGTTGCCACCGCTAAGCTCTCTAGGTCAATGGTGAAAACACAAATCTCCCATTTCTCAAGAGAAGAGGACAAATGAGCCCAAGTTCAGAAGCCTCGCTTTTTTGGGGGACCTTTTCATGGTCCATCCATTTGGACAAGTGACAGATTACGATTCCCCTGGCTAGAAAAGGCTAGGAAAATAGCCCCAGGCTTCAGAAATTCATTCCCTAGTGTGACTTTGGTCAGTGACGTGAAGACTGACGTTAATGGCCCCACCATCAGAAAGGTGAAGGCTCTGGGGTACGGCAGCCCATCTCCAACCAATAAAAGGAATCAAACTCAATCCACCATCAAACAACAACAAAGTCCATTAATAAAAGAATTCTCATTATAAAAGAGTCAGCAAATATCAGAACAGGGACCAGCGCGATGACTCCATTCGTGCAGGGACCTCGCTTCCAGGAGGAAACGCCCACGACGGATGCAGGCTGGACTGTCTGGAAATTCCAAAAAGTGGCAGGGGATGGAGAGGTGAAGTGGCCAGCTGGACTTCTTCAAGGGGCAAGTGTGTCTGGAGCAGAGGCAGGCCAGAGCAGGCGAGTGGCCAGGCTGAGCCTCCTGACCTGTGTGTGGCCTCTCAGGGCACTTCCTTATGCTGCACTTTAAACAGGTCAGAAATAAAAAGGGGTGTGGGACTCAGTCTTACCTCATAGAAAAACTCCTCCTCTGCATTGGCAAACCTCAGCGCTTTGTGTGGCATGTTCCCTTTGTTTCTGGAATTCCTCGAGGCCTCTTGGAACGTCTTACTGATCATGAGGTAATAGGAGCACTTGCCACAAGGCTCATCGGCCTGGCGTGACTCCGCAAGCTCCTTCCTACAGAGGAGGGACACACGGGGGCGTCAAAGCCTGTGACAATGGAAAGAAAACCAGCCCCCCACCCCCTCTCTGCCTGCTGACGTGCCGGACATAGATCAGATCTGCGCCCGTGCAGCCAAGGGAACCACCCAACGTGAGCTCCCCGGAATCAAGGCTGAGCCCACTCTGGCCGGGTGGTTCCAAAAACACTCCCAAATTTAGGAGATTCCCATCTTGGGAGCTGGAGACCCCGGCACCAGACAGTGCACTGCCCTCAAGCAGCTAGGTTTCAATGAATCAAAATAAGTACTGGAAGGGAAAAAGCTGTGGTTGGACGCCATTCTTCTCTTTTCTAAGCAAGAATGCAGTAGGGGAGGAAATAAGCATTGATTAGACACCTAGTAGGTACCAGCACTGTACTAAGGACTTTACAAATGTCATCCCATCTAATCTTCACAATAACCCATTAAGTGCTGTTATTATCCCTGTTTTACAACTGAGGAAAAGTGAGGCGCACAGGGTCACACAACACTTAAGTGTCCACGGCAGGACTGGAACCTGGGTCTGCCTGACTCCAGGCGTAGCGCTCTGTGGCCTACCCTACCTGCTGCCAAGACCTGGCCAAAAGTGCTAGACAAAGACCCCACTCCCCACTTATTCCTGCTGGCATCACGGGTCATATACATTTCCCACTGAAAACGCCTCTCGTCCCCCGGAGCATTTATTGCCACTGAGCTGTAACTCAGAGACCCAACGAGGCAGGAGAGGCCCAGCCACAGCTGACCAGACGAGCTGATGGCCAAAAGGAAGGGGACAACCAGCAAAACTGAGGAGATGAGGACAGACGGAGAGAGGCTCCCCAAAGGGAAATCCTATGCCCGCAAAACAACTGAGAGAAAAAACAAATCAGCAGAGGGGCTGCCTTCTCCTTAGCGACCATCGCTCTGAAAAAACACCTTTCTCCTACCCCAGACTGCCTACAAATACATTTGGAGCTATGCCACAAGACCTCAAACAAGTACTATTTAATTATAGATACCTTTCTGACTTTCAAAGTATATTCTAATACCTTCCATTATCTTAATTATTTTTACCTCTGAAGCCAAAGATGTGGTTTTATTGTTTTCAGATCAAGCACTCCAGAGGATTTTATTATTTATGTTTATGTCTTAGTTTTTAAAAGTTTCATTGCTCTTCTTTATACAACTGAATCCCTGTACTTAGTTGATGTGTGTCAAAATAAAGTTTTTCTATGGAAAAACTCAGCCCTCTTAATGAAACAAATCAAAGATAGCATTTCTGATTTACGTGGGGAGGAGTCATTATCAATTTAATGGAGTAAGAAATAGCAACTGAACCAAAAATTTAAGTCCTTTCAAAGAGCATTCTCTCAAACTTCCTAAGTAGTGAGCTACTCTCCCAGTGAAGGCCAGCCGGTCAGCAGACGAGTCCGACTACCTGCACCCCATCAAGCTGAAACTCAATCCATGGCAGCCTCCCCTCTCTCCCTCTCTGCACCAAGACATTTCTATTTAGATCACATTTCTGAAACCATTTGGGAAAAAAATGAGTGTTCTCAGTCATTTTCAGAAAGTCTCTTACTGGAGCTGCTGGTGCATAGGCAGAGCGATCTGGGGTGGGACGTTAAGGAATCTTTCACTTAACAGGAGGCCCACAGGCTTAGCGGGATCACTGAAGAGTTTACGCAGCTGTTCAACCATATCCTTCTCACAGAGGCTCAGAATCAACTCCTTAATTTGTTCAGCACATTCGGCACCCTGGAAATCAAAAAGAAAGTGTCCCCGACATTACAGACTGGCCGTTTACATGAGAAAACTTGAAAGTCATCTCTAACTCATCACTTTGAGGAGTCTGGGCCAAGTTTCTGCTCGGGGCTCTAAGGGGCATTCTTGAGGGCTCCACTGGGGATTATTTACCTAATTCCCAAGGTAACCACTGCTAGCTATTTACCAACTGTGTGGTGAGTGACAAGAGGCTTCTGAATTATCACTACAGCCAGCCCTACAAAAAGAGACTGAAAAGTGCACACAGCTAAAGAGAGGAACAACCCACATCTATGAGAGAAAGCAGGGAGATGAAACTTCACGAGAAACAGCTCAGGCAATGGAAGAGGTACCAAAAACCCATTTTCTCTGGCCATCCCCCTGCCTGGAACACTCTGCCTGCTTGTTTCCACCTGCTAGCTCCCCAACAAAAATCCCACCTTCTTTCCCAATTATCTCCTCCTCGTTATCCTCTATCTGTTTGCTTTGAACATATGCTTGCATATGTGTGTATATGTGTATGTATGTGTGTATATATATACACACACACATGTGTATGTATGTTCTTCCATTAGACACACACACACACACACGTACATTCTATTAGACTGTGAGCTCCTGGAGGGCAGGTCCCATCTTTTGCCTCTTTCTGTAACCCCAGCACTTCGTACATAGTAGGTGCTTAATAAATGTCTACTGATGAAAAAATACACAATGAAATGTCACCAATAAGCTCACTGGCTTCACGTGGAGAACCCCCAAATCATGAATATCAGCATTCAGCCTGGATCGGGGAGCCCTACGATCAGAGCTCAAGACCAGACACGTAGCCCAGAACAGGCCAATGTTCAACATGGGAAGTCAATCACTTTAAGAAGCATCCTCACTGTACCGTACAAAAAAAAATTCCAATTTCTGCTGAATCCAGGTAATCAAGAACTTTCTTAATGAAAAAGTGTTTTCAGAAGGAATTACAAGAGCAGACACTAGCGGGATCAGCAATAATGCCTAACAGGAAAGGTCCCACACGTCTTCAGACACGACACTGTAGAGCTGACCTTTCTTTCTGTTAAATTCAAGAGGCTGATGAAACCAAAAATCTCCTCCTCTTCATCATCCTCTTCATCACTTTCTTCTGGAACATCTGTTTGCTATTTTAAAATGAGAGGTTATTAGATTTGGGTTCAGAAGAATGAAAACATGAATGGGGCAGTCAGGGTTACTACCGATGTGTCTTTACTTAGACATTTCCCCCGAGTTTTCCAAGTCGTGATTTTAGAGCTGAAAGGGGCCCTGCTCCCAAGAGCAAAGCCCAAAAGGTTCAATGACCTGCTCAGTGTTGCCCAGACCCATCCCCAGGGCTCCTTGACTACAAGTCTGTCTCTTCCATTTCTAAGAGGTTAACAGGCAGAAAATGGGCCGATTCTAATTGGTACTAAAGCTGGCTGACTCCACGTAACCTTTGGCCTACTCATTTACTTTTTGTTATCTGAAATGAAAGGAAGACATCAACCCCCGTGCCGCACTTCATGCAGCGCTGGCCTCGACAGCGTCCAGGGCAAAGAGCTCGGGCGTCTCTGCTCCAACAAAAAGGAAAGATTTGGGGGACAAGCGGCATTTCAATAAAGCAATAGATTCCAATAAACTGTTAGCTCTAGGGCACCAAACAAGCCACAACCTCTCAGTGTCTACAGTTTCCTCACCCACAAGATGAGAGCATGGGGGTAGAGGCCCTTCCAGCTCTGTCTTTGATATGACATTTTGTACACAAAGTAAGTTCTCATTCTGGTGAGCTTCCTTCCTGCCCTGATTCTCGTTATAGTAAAACACTGGGGAGGGATGCAAGGGAGAGAGGGACGAGGCTGACCCTGCTAGGACGGTGTCTGTACACTTCTCAGGGGGCACATAATATCCAGGACACCCTCCTGGTACCCAGCACAAACATGTCACAGAAGCCAGGCTTTGGAAGTAGCCCAGGTGAAAGGTCACCCATACCTAAGTGAGGCTGGAGGCCTTGTAAGTAGAGAGATGGAGAGAGGTGGAGGGGGGAATTAACAAGACCTGGCAACTAACTGGACTCATGGTGGGGGGTGGGGGGAAGGGCGGGTTGAGAAGGATTCCAAAGTCGTGGACCTGGGGCCTGGACTACTGTGGCCTTATGGAAAGAACCAGGAAGATGGGAAGAGGGGTGGCTTTCAGGGGACCCAGCGAGGTGGGGATGCCCCCAAGACACCCAGGTGGAAATGTCCAGCAGGCATATGATATGGAACCAGAACCCCGGAGAAAAGTGAGGGCAGGATATGTATAGGGGACACTGAAACGTGGGACTGTGACATAAGGGAGGGACAACTTTATGGAAGGAGGAAAATAGAAAATAATTTGGGGGAAGAAAACAAGTGAAGAATCTGGCCCTGATGCAGGGCCAGCCGCTAGGAACCATCAACCCCCCCCCCCCAGCTGCTGCCTCCCAAATCTTGTGAAGCTCTGAATTCTGGGAATATTTGCACAGAACGCTTTCACAGAGAGCGATTAACAGAATTGGGAGCGCTCCTGGGCTAGTCCGGGATCTGTCTGGGTTTTGCTGGGAATGGAGCTCAACTTGCCGCTCTAAGAGGCGTGTTAGATGCCACCTTTAACAACCTCTCTCCCTAGCCAGTTTCCCCAGCACTACGGACTTTCCCCTTTCTGCAGAAAAAAGGGCCTGCCGAGTGCGACCGCTCTAGCCCCTTGTCTCCTCCTGAACCACTGGTCCGCATGAGGCCTGCATCCCCGCCCCCACCTCCGTGACCTGCCTCCGGGCCCCAGAGCCCCCTCCGTTCCAACGCTAACAGCTGACGTACAGTTTGCACGACCGCGTCCGAGGAGAGATGAGTGCAGACCTCGGAGTCTGTCTGCAAAGAGCTGCTTCTGCAGCAAGGCCCAGAACGGTTCCCTCCTCGCTTCCTTCCAAGTGGAGCCTTACTTTACCCATGGTCCATACTGCGTTTTCTCGGGGCCCCTGGGACACCCCGGGGTGGCAGGGTTCTTCCCTCTCTCCTCTGATCACCTCTGATGCATTCATGCTTCCTACAGTACAGACACTCCTGTGTCTGCACGGTGCATCTCCTCTGTCTCCTAATTCATGCTGTTTCGTATCATCTTAGGGAAGGGTCAGAGACCCACAGCACTCACTGGGGACCCTCTACCACAACATCCCAGGCGTGGTCCCGGCCACAGCCAATACTCTGGCTCCCCTCCTCGCTCGCCCTGCCCTGGAAGAGCTGGGCTAGATGAGGCCTTCTCCACCACTTCTGCCAGAAAGAGGCTGCAGCAGCCCCCGCCGTGGGCAGGATGGGCCAGGAGCGCCACGGCGGCGTGTCTGTGTCCCTGCCGCTGTTGACCGTTTGGCCATTATTGCAGGATCACATCCTCTTCTCCCCTCCATCCCATTCTTCATTTTCTCTTTCCTGGGTCATCTCCTCCTCTTAGAATACAAAGGCATGAATTTCATGGGGGGCTCAGAACATAGCCAGAAGTACAGTGGGCTAGCTTTGAGAGGGGGAGAGACCAGCATAGACATTGGCTCTGGGCTGAAAGCCAGGAGAGACTGATTTGTGTCCTCAGCGCCTAGCACCATGCCAGTACACAGTGGGTGCTTTATACAAGCCTGCTGGTTGACTGCCCTTAGACAAGTCCCTAGACCTCAGTTTCCTTATCTGTAAAATAAGGAGGTTGACCTAGAAGTCTCTAAGGCCCCTTTCCAGTTCCGCTATCCTATGTACTCCAAGGTCTTATCCAACCCTTAGGTTTTATAAAGGCCTACTCAGTGGTTCTTTTTCTCCAAACAAAAAAAACAAGGCAGAGACAAAGAAGTTTCTTTAACTTGATACTTTTCTTTCTGTGGGGAGGGGGAAGCCCATCACCTTTAGAAACACCCCCCCCACTTGTGACGGTGACGCACCTGGTGACCCTCCCTTTCCTAACACAAAGACAGACTCAGAACATGGAGTCCAGACAGAAGGAAAGACCCTTTCTCACCTTAATGACACTCCCAATGTGGTTCTGCTGAATTAAGAGATTGGTGAGCTCCACAATATTCACAGCAGCCTTCAGGAAGAGCTAAAAAGAGGAAAAAATGTTTAACTGTAACAGACTGTAACAATTAAAACAGGATTCATAAGAACAGGTCTAATTCTAAAATTAGACCAATAAAATAAATTATCATACGTAGCTACTATTCCATAGTCTCGTAAATAAATACTACTCTAAGTATTCTGATTTTAACATTCTGATACAAAATTCAATTAAGAATTTAATTATCATTCGAAGAACCAAGCTTAACCCATTACGGCGTCTGGCCTTTCTTACCTGTTGTAGTAATTTCTTTATTCCATCAAAGTCATTACTTGAGATAGAATGAGCTTCAAATTCAACGTTTACTTCCTATAAACAACACACAGAGGACAGGGTCACACAGCCGCCCTCCCAGCACGGCTCAGCGCTCCTCCCCACTGCGCCTCCGAAGCTGAGGCTCAAGACCCCGATCTCCCTTCCCCCGCACCTCGGCACCTCTTGGTTCTTAGACCCGCTTCATCTGGTGATGAAGAAATAAGGGACAGGGTGACCAAATGGAACCAACTAGTGTCCCGCTACGGGAAAGGCATCCCCCAGTGCTGTCGTCAGGATCTCGCCCCGTCAGCCCTCACTAAGCCCCTGCCAGCTCCCAGTGCAGGCCTCCTGAACAACACGAGGCTGAGCCCGGCGCCGGAGCCCGGACGGTCATTCCCTAGCACTGCTGCTAAGTCCAGATGTCCGGATCTGGCGAGGTCATCTCCCCAACACTGCCCAGAGGGAGGCCGGTCAGACCCACAGGCCACCACCGAGGGCTCCTCCGCCATCTCCCCCAGGAACCGGCCACTGTGCCCATCTCCGTCCTTCTGCTCTGTGCTGGCTGCCGCCACCTGCTACCGCAAACACGCACACACGCGTGTTTTATGCACACACACAAACACACGTGTGTGCACAACACAGGCACATATACAGGCACACACGCACATTTACGTGTCTAGGCAGCACGAGCCCACATGTGCACAGAGACACATGCATTTACACGCAATACATAGATGTGTATGTCCGCATGTCTGCACGCCCGCGCATGCGCACAATGCAAGTGTACATGTGATCGTGTTTACATACACGGGCATAGCATGCACATATGTATACACGTGTGTCTAGGCAGCACACAATCTATGCACGCGCGCGCACACACACACACACGCTGGGGGAAGGCAGGCCCTGGCACCAAGGTAGGACCCCGACCCCTGCATAAGACCTGAGTGACTCGGGCTGGGGCTGGGGGGCAAACAGCAGGCGCTCACTAATGGCCACGGCCAGCGAGGGGGTGGGGTATATAAGCCAAGTCCCTCCCCCAGCCTGTGCCTCAGTTTCCCCACCTGTAAAATTAGGACGAGTCACCCGGCACCGGAAGCGAGGGCTCCGAGGGACAGACCCCTCCCCCGCCCTCACGGGGCTCGTTGGCCCCCTCCCCCACCTGGTTGACGAGTTCGTCTTCTTCGTCTTCTTCGTCCTCTTCGTCGCTGCCGCTGCTGTCGTCGCCGCTCTCGTCGGTGTCCTCCGCCGTCTCCTCGCGCTCCTCCTCGGCCTCCGGGTGCCGGCTGCCCAGGGCGCGCTTCTTGGCCCGGGACGCCATGCTGCCCCGCTCCCACTGCGCCTGCGCACCTGCTTCCGGGTTGGGGCTTCCGGGCCGGCTCATGCGCGTGGGGGGAAAGTTGCTGGAGTAAGGGCGGGGGAGGGCCGAGTCTAGGCCGCTTCGGAGCCGCTGAGGCAGGGAGACCAGCCTCCGAGCCTGGTCTGGTTCGTTGGACGTTAGCTGATTCTGTTGCGCTGCGACGGTGGCCGCTCCGGGCCCGGCTCCCCCCACGTCCCGACAGTGGTTCGCTCCACCAGGGGAGGGGGAACCTTGAACCCGGCAGGAGGAGGGGCCAGCTTTGCGCGTGCGCGTCTGTGCGTATCTGTGCGTGTTGCGTAAGGCCTTCCCGCAGCTCCATGGGTTTACTGGCAGGGAAACTGAGGTCGCTGCTGTACCCCGACTTCATGGTTCCGGGTCAGTGCCCCCGCCCCCTTGGGCTGTCCACGGCCACGAGTGCTTTCACAGGGCTGTACCTTCCATGGATCCCAAGCCCCTCCCCGTCTGACAGAGAAGGAAACTGAGACCCAGAGAGGGGAGGGATTGGCCCTGGGCTGCCTGGGCAGGGAGTTGTCAGAGGCGGAATTCGAACCTGAGCCAGACCGTCCCCGGCCTTTTCTTTGTGCACCCCTGGAACCCTGCCTGAAGGGGCCCCAAGGTATCACCTAGGACCATGGGATCCAGGGTCAATCAGAGGTCACCTAGGACCAGGAGATCCCGGGTCAGTCAGGGGTCACCTAGGACCAGGAGATCCAGGGCCTGTCAGAGGTCA